GGGGGGCCGCCAAGGGGCTTTGCCTATTTCGCTTATTTTAACAGTTTTAGACGGTTTTATAAAGGAAATAAATACAATTTGGTTTGTCAGTACTTAAATGTTTTATAATTTTTAATTTTATATGTACCATAACCAAGTGAATTTCCTTTTGGATAATAAAGTATTTTTGAATTTAAATAGACACAGTAATATGATGCACTGGGCATGAACAATACGAAATGGGTTCGGCCTTTTTTTTGATAAAGTATCTAAAGTTTACCGTATATACACGCGTCTAAGACGAGGCTTACAATAGTAAGTTACGTTCTGAAAACAGTGGGTCGTCTTATACGTGCGACAGATAACTCGTCCAAAAACCTCAAACTCAGGGGTCGTCTTATACGCGGGTAGCCTTATATGGGAGTATATACGGTAAATGGATAGGTTGGTTTTTAAAAGCCCATAAAATTGTATTTTTGAAGATCAGTCCCACATTTGAATCTGTTTTTATCCATCTAGATGCAGTATCAAGACCATAAAGAGCAACAAATATGAATTACAAAGTTGAAAATAGGGGGTCGTCTTATACGCCTGACATATAAATCGTCTAAAAACCTTCTCAAACTCGGGGGTCGTCTTATACTCGGGTTGCCTTTATATATGGGAGTGTATACGGTAAATATTATTGAAGGGCACTTTAATAAAGGCAAATAAATTTTACAACATTCTATAATATTTTTTGCACAGACTAATATAATCACAAAATACAATTTATGATATTTCCATGTAGGCCTTTGATCTAGTGATTGAAAAACGTTCTAAAAGACATGAATAACAATGGCTACGCTTAAATAGGGTACTGTAAACTACTGTCCCCGATCGGAGTTTCGGAGATTAACACATAATGAGTTTATGTTTGCACTAACAATCGTCATCAAACAAAATATTTGGTAAGTTAATTTTTTTTTTGATTGCCTAATAGCAAATGCTTTTACTGCTTCGCTCACTGCTGGATCCGCCCCTGTTTTGGTGATTTAATGCCAGTTAAATACCCTCCATGATAGATGTTACGGTGGCCTTACTTATTGTTTCATAGTACAGATTCACAAAATTTACAGCATTGAAAGCCAACAATTTGCCTTTATTATTTATGTTACTTATAGAAATATATTACACGGCTAGCCCATCACAAGTCCTTTTTAATTTGTAGTACTCTTAATTGATTATTATTTTTCCATGTATAATACACTTTGTAAACTTCTTTACTATATACAGTAGTACAGTGAAAGAAATACAGTAATAGTTTATTTAAACGATTGCCTTCCCTAGAGAAGTTTCTAATTTAGCTGATTTATATTTTGTCATTGTCATCGTTTTCTGAATCCATGGCTACTGTATAGATCACGATAATGCTAATATTTGCACATTCTTTCCACACATCTTGTACTGTATAAAAATGATATGTTTTTAAAAATAACTATGGCAGCTGCTTTTTTGTATTGCACTTCTGTTCGCCTAAAATGTTTGCCAATCTATATTTTGTTGTGGTCTCCATTTTTCCAGAGTCAATATATCTTTATATACACCGTAAAATATTGGCCTACATATTTATATAGCTTATATATACATATACAGTATATATATATATATAGGTATATGTATATGTTTATAAATATGTATATAGATGTAGCTTATATATATTATATATATATATATATATATATAATGTTTGTAGGTTCCACGTACATATAATATGTATATAGAGTATTATATTTATGTAAGCTTCTAAAATTTAATATTAATGCTTATGTCACATATTCACGATAAATGAGCGTTCTTGTTTTATGAGATCAACAGATAACTAAGCAGATTTAAATAAATATTGGAGGTCAAATGTTGATTATTTTGTGGCTTTATTATACACAGTTAATTGTTGTAATCAACATTTTTATCATCATTATCAAACAAATACAGATTTCAGCTCTTCTCCTTCAGATGGTAACTATTTTATTACCTTCAATAATTTACACTATTCATTTTCCTCATATTAATTGCTTGAAATGGTAGTCCAAAGTAATTATATGAAACTATTAAAAATGCAATGATAATTGTCCATATGCTTATTAATGAGTTGATTATACAATAGAATAATTGAATCTACTTCACTGCTCAAATTATAAATTATGTTATTTCACTATTGAACTTAAACATTATGCATTGGTGAAACATTCAGCATCTGCAATAATTCATAATGGTAAACTTCTATTTCCAAATGCGATGGCTATAATTTACTATCAATAGTCTTATGTAATCTTTCTAAAGAATCTCTAAATTTGTCTGGTAAGCATATGGATTTATGTGTTGCTGGATCGACAAATACATGGACACATCTCCCAACTGCACATGCCTCGCTTTCATGGCAGAAAAAATCTTCACCATTAAAACTGCTTGAAAAAGGAAAACATGATTCTCGTTTATTTTGTGTTTTCTCTGCAAATAATCCAATGGTATAGTGCACACTGGAGTTCCCTATTTTAGAGACACTCAAACCCGCTAACACCACTTCAGGAAAACTAACTGGCTGTTTGAATGTACATTGCGTCTCCACCATCAAACCAACCATATTTGTTTCTGTCAAATCTACATTCAGATCACAATATTTGATTAGGTAATGGTTGATGATTGTATCAAAATATGAATAGTAAATCACATTGTTAACATGTCCATACTGATCATTGTCAGACCATCTACTTTGAATAGGCAGAAAATACTTGTAACTTGAACGTTCCCATACAGCTCGTTTAGGAGAGAAACACATTTTCATTTTTGGCGTTGTGTGCATTGATAATGTCATCAACTTAAAAGGACTGCTACATTGCACAAATCTCTTCATTCTATTACTGTTTTTCTGAAATAAAACGATGATTGAATTAATAAATTTTGTGACGAAAATGTTTCGATATTTCTCAATCAGTCTCTATTAATACTTTCCCATGAAACTAACTCCAAATAAAATCTAGATCTGGGTACCCATGTGTGCGACCAAGCTTCAAAAGTATTTTTAGAGTAAAAAGTAACCCTAAATATAAGCAACCACAATAGCACAATGGCGGGATCCGAGGAAAAAACTGAATTGTGCGCTTGGTGAGACGCGCAATTGTCGACGCAATGCTGGTCCGACTCCAGCTTTCTGCATTGCTGCACTGCGAGTCGTTGGCCGATGTTGTCTGACACAGACGGTGTCGCACACCCTAAACACGCTTCTTAATTTCCTCAAATATGATGATTTACGAATTTGAGCATTTTTCAGAACCTAAAAATGTAACGTAACCCCGAGGTCAAGGTGAGTGTCGCCCTAGGGAAAGTAAGACACGCCATTGTAATTCAATCACATTGTTTCTGTACTAAGGTAGGCCAATCTTATACTAGTTAGTCGACCTACAGACTTTGCTTTTTTTTGGGGGGGGGGAGTCTACCACCCTCTTGAGGGCATGACGTTATCCTATCATCTTTACAGTATATGTAAATCATTATCTTATCGGCTCACTGGTTTTCATTGGATAAGGCTTAACTGACGTAATTTTACCGAGTTTGGCATTCCATACATCAATAAAAGCAGCCTATCCCATACGTACACAAATTTCATATTAACATGGCTTTAGTACTTTCTTCTTTTCTTTGTAATGTCTTCCCGAGGGCTTTATTGCAGTGCTACCCACGACGCCCGACACCACACCACTCAGACTTTAGAAAAGCACTCTCGGGCGGATTGGTGGTAGAGGGCCTAGGCCTATTATTATGCATTTTATCAGTCGGTGGTCAGTTAATATAGCTCGATCGGCCCTACCCTAGATGGTTTCGGGCTCGACTGGCATCGTCGCCATACATTCGGGCATACATTACAAATTCGAAGTAAGTTAATGGCGAAATCAAATTACAAACATAAATATATTCGATAATATGTATAGTATCTCGAAACGTGCCTAGTATTAGTAGCCCTATGCAGTACCGTTCAGTACAGTTGAAACCCGAGTTGGACACTCACAACAGTCCGAATGTAGCTTCTATCCGACCTGTCTCTATATTCTATATAATAATTCTTGCTAGTGGATTGGTTTGTGTATGGAATGCCAAACCCGCCAAAAAATATGTTAGCAAACCCTTATTCAATAGAAACCAAACATATTATTTAAATTAAACTCCCGATTACCACGGAATCTGATCGCAACGAATCACAACGAATTCCACAGGCACTGTTTGGCTGAGGTCAGGCAACATAGACCTAGACACCGGAGGCCTAGGCCCTAGAATGTAAAGTTTGTTTGTGTTGGTCTGAATGCGTTCGTTGATTGCGATCGGGAGTAATCAGTTTTGGATTACCACCACCGATTACATCGCAACCGATCGCAAGAGAGTGTAGTCTGAATAGGGTATTAGACAAACCATTCATTGAAAAACAAAATCGTTAATCAATCACCAAACTATTCATTGAAAAAAATGTCATCACATATCGAAATGATTAAATATGCTGAGACTTGAGATCTCAATCAGTGGTGTCCAGAAACTATTAAAGAAACTTTAAACCACAAAAAACCTTTTGGGTTTATCCTGACAACACACTTCAAATGTTCTAAAAGAATGTATTTCTCTTACAACACATCAACAATCAATAATGCAGGAGATTTACTAACAGCCAGTGTTTCACCAATCAAGAGCGGTCAGAGCAGAGGTGGTCATGCAAATTATCGGCCAGTGTTAGTCGTTATAATTACCATCCTATTATTGGAACATACATTTAAATCGTATGCGTCACTTTGAAGAACATTATTTGCTTCATTTTTCAAAAAGTCTGCAGCATTGTTTCCATAAGGTCCGTCTTGACACCCAGCTTTCTCTAACAATCCACGACCTCGTCCAAATTCTTGACCGTGACTTTCGATTCCGGAGGTCAGCCTAGAACTTCAAATTGATATACTGTACACCATTATTTGTAAAGCCTGGTTTCCTCAAAATCGCAACGCTGTTGCTACAGTGTTTTCAGTGCAATCGTAATGCGTAATTAGACCCCACGCAATCCGGAAAGGCTCCCCGATTCGTGAAGCGCTTAGAGGCTTTGTTAAGGGCATTAAGCGCTATATAAGAACGACATATTATTCTTCGACCGACCAATCAGCATCAAGCTTGGTTTCCATACAATTGCTTACATGAACACCACCAACAAATACTGTAAGAAAGACTTGCTGAATGGAATCAACGTCACTGGACTCATAAGTTACAATTATTTTCAGATTCTTACTTATTGGAAGGGAATGGGTACCGTACTACTAGGCTAGGGGGACACAAACAAAATAACAATGTTCTGCTATCTGCTAGCCATCATCCTTGTGACAAGTAAAAGAGTAGCAGTGGGTCCAGAAATTTGCCGAGATATCCCGGGTGCCTACTCTTTAGCATTGTAAACTGAGGGCGTAGGCCTTATTTATCCCCTTTTTTGGTCCGCGCCGGGCGAAGCACTGACCCAGAGCCTCACTGCTGTTCTTGTTACCAAAACTTTAAAAGCGTCCAGCGTCACCAGTTTTGAACGGACGTGCAGGAAATTTTGTGCACATAAACTAGAGGTGATTTCCAACAAACGCTCATCGCCCTTTTTTTAAGTTGGACCCCAGGGTTCCCCCCTACACCTACAAAACAAAACAGGGGTTTCAAACTTTAAAAGCGTTCAGCGCGTCGCCAGTTTTGAACGGACGTGCAGGAAATTTTGTACACATATACTAGAGGTGATTTTTAGCAAACGTTCATCGCTTTTTTTTAAGTTAGACCATAGGGTTCCCTTACACCTACGAAACAAAACAGGGGTTTCTAACTTTAAAAGCGTCCAGCGCGCGTCACCCGCTTTGAACGGACGTGCAGGAAATTGTGTATACATAAACTAGAGGGGATTTCCAACAAACGTTCATCGTTCTTTTTTTAATTTGGACCCGGCCCCCCAGGGTTTCGCCTACACCTACAAAACAAAACAGGGGTTTCAGCAAGGACTACATTACTGCCATTTACCACTACCGACGGCTATGTGAGGAGAATAGTGCTGCGGGGCGCTTATTCAAATTGTTAAATTGGTATAATAATTTAGCATAATTTCCCATCAGCCATTGGCATAATTTGATTCGCATCACTGGTCACACGTCATTCTCGCGTTCAATAGATCGAGTAGCGTCAAAGGCCGCCGTATTCGACTGGTCGTTCTTCGTTAAACCACGCCCACCTACACAGTGTTAAAATCCTACTTAAAGATGTACTGTCCCTTGAAAATGACCAAAATCATAAAAAAATAATTCTTTAATTAACTTTCTCATTTTGCAGTAATATACGAATTATTAACTTGAGCATAGAAATTATTAAATTAAAAAAATACGTTCCCTGATTTTTTAACTGGATAATTAAAATAAAGATAATAAAACACTTCCAGTGACTGGAAGTGTTTCATCATTTTTTCGCTGTAAAATGATGGTTTTTATGGGTAAGAATTTTTTAAATACACTCATTTCTATGTTCAAGTTGATAATTACTTCAAATTGGGCAAAATAAATTTCAAAAATGATATGAAAATTCTGTTAGCCTACAATTATTTTTTGACTTCATTGTGGGTAAATATTGTAATTTTTATTTTCTGAAATTTAATCTAAATTACAATAACACAAATGTTGTTGCTAAACTGACCAATCGGCCATATTTCTTTTGGTCACGTGCATAAGGCCAAATAAAATAAATTGTTTGTTTGCCCTTCTTTTTTAAAAAAATAATAAATAGGGGCGGAAAAAGTTTTTATTTATTTATTTATTTTTTTAAATACTCATTAGATGGAATAAAATAACCCACAGAGGCCTAGAATGGCAATATTTTACATCAGACAACAACTTTAGAATAATTTGTAGGGCATCGGGCAAAAAATAAAGATAAATTCACCAGGGAGATGTAAAAAAAAAATTACATCTCCCAGAATTCACTCACTTATTTTTTTTTTTTTTGTTAAGCTTTTTTGTTTTTCCATCCCTATCTCTTTCAGTGAGTTAGGGGCGGTTGGAGGAGGGCAAACGCTGATTATTAACGCATTCTGGTTACGTTAATTTTCGTTGTCAACGAACCAGTCGAATGAAAATAATACTCAACGAAAATTCGTACTCAACGAAATGAACCAGTCGAATAAGCCCAAAGAATCTGTGGTAGAATCACGCTCGTTTGGTTGGTACCGTACCGAACGTCTTTGACGTGGATGACTGTAGACCTGCTTCGTTTACTTTATTCTACAGCAGCATTTACAGTAATAGTGTGATATCTTAAAAGAGGTAAACAGTATATTTGTATTCTAATTGTTTTATTTGGATGTTCTGTCATATTAGAATTGACAAGGCCTAGAGCGAACGAGTTGACGAAGCCAAGGGTAGGGCCTAGGGGGGGGGGGCCTAGCCTAGATATGCCAAGCCTAGGCCCAGGGGCCTAGCATCGCTAGGAGGACCAAGGCCTAGGGCTACCTATTATTTACTACTACAGTCTGCTGTACTGCTACTACTATTACCCTAGCTAGCTAGTCAGGACTAGCTAGCCTAGCTAGCCCAGTCCTCATGCCGCTGAGCCTTCCCTACAGAGAGTAGAGGACCTATCTTACTACTTAGCCTAGGGCCTACTTGATTACTTACTTACTTGATTTGTTGTGCGTATTTTGTTCCTTTTGCTCAATTTGTGTTGCTGACGTATTTTCGAAGTTGTTTCAAACTGTGCACACAGTATGCAAACTGCACAAGGATTCTTTCAGCATTTGTAGTAAAATGTGACATTTATATTTATGATATTGGTATTTATTTCTAACTTTATTATTAGATTATGATTCAACATAATGTATTTTTTTGGGAGGTATACTAAAATTCTGATGTTTTAATTCGATCGGAAAATTTGCAATGATAAAAGATAGGCCATCCATGTTGTATGTAGGACACAAGGCACTGTTGGTAATTATTGAATTTATTAGATATACCACTACTAAAAAACTAATATGAATAGGCCAAATAGGAATTAGTTTTTTTACAGATTCATCTTGTCTAGGCCTAGCCTAGGCGTGGCATGTTACCTAAGGAGTAGGCCTACTGTACATTGAAACCCATTCAGGTTTTTTTTTGGCAACTAACAAAATAAACCTCGCAATACAAAGTGTAGGCAAATTATATAGAGGGACTTTATTTTTAATACACTTTTCAATTTACAGTCATAAGATTCCTGAACGTGGTTTTTCTTTTTATAAAATAAAAATCATCATCATCATCATCCAACAATGACAACTTCTTTTCATTTGCGTTTCTATGTACATACACATAAGAGTACTGTAAATATTATTTTTCCAACAAGAGTAATAATACTGTACAAATATTAATTGAATACCGTATTAATTATGTATTGATAAATTGACATATACAAGAATAAGTAAAGTAGGCCCTTAGAAAGTCACATTATTATGCTATTAAACTGGCCTAATTATATGAAAAATACACAAGTTAAAAAAATCATACCTCCGCTCCCCTCCCCCACCCCCACAACCTGGTCCACCACACTGACACACCATTTTTCCCCGCACATGATCCAAGGCCATGCATATCCGGCTTACATGTGCCAACGTTTTTATTCAATGTCACGCCATAAACAGAAAAAAAATTAGGCCTACAGTAATCAGTATCAAAATATGCAAATAGATTAAAATGTGCATGAGCTACCCTTGCAGTGTTTGCAATTTTTTAATGCACTTTAAAACTTTGGCCTACTAATTATTACAATTAATTATAATTATTTTTAATTAATAAATATGTATGTATATATACATATATAGGCCATTATATGCATTAAAAGTAAAACAAACAAAATAAAATAATGACAGTGCTCAAATCATACTAGAAATTTAATGCCAATTTCTTGCACAGTGCTCAAATCTTTGCAACGAATAATTGTTTTGAATACCTCCTAGTTTTTATCAACACTTGACATAAAATCTATCTAATATATACATACATAGGCCTATATAATTCGTGTTTCGTACAGGTCAACCCATTCATAGAAAAGGCCTTTATTGGAGAAAGCGTACCTGTCGTTAGCCATAGTAGCCTAGGTCAATACTAACCCCGGCTATACAAAATTGATTATAAAATAAAAAAATATTAATCTTATTATTGTAGTAGTCATACTATGTACACGTTTTAATTATTGTTATTTATTCGTTAACGTCATTATATTTACATTTAAATTTCCAATGTTAAAATAATCTTATTTATCAAAATTGTATATTTAAATAATAGAGTAATAGCCAAGCCGAGGTATAGCCTAGTCTAGGCCTAAACAATTTACTATATGTGAGTGTATAAAATTATGAAAAATATGATTAAAACGCAAAATTGTGAAAGAAAATAGGAAGAAGGAAGAATAGGAAAGAGATTTGGAGCGGCTGAAATATTTTCCGAAAATATACAATAGTAGTCAATATGCTATTATTGCATTACGTTTTTGTAAACAAATTTGAGCACAAAAAAAAACGAAATTAATTTTTATACATTAAAAATTAACGTAGGCCTATTTTTCATGCGTTTTAATAAGTAGATGTTGATGCGTACATACAGAACAATGCGTGAAAATACAGAACAACACACAATGAAATACAACAATATTCACTCACAACTTATAGGCCTATCCATTGGTAAGTTACAGGTAGTTGAACTTGAACAAATTGAATATAGGCCTATCCATTGGTAAGTTACAGGTAGCTCAACTTTCCTTATAATTACTACAGCTTTCATGCTAACTTTGAATTTTGAATTTCGTCTCCTCGATGTTATTTTGGAATTCCGTCTTTCCAAGATAACATATCTTGGAAAGACGTCTTTCCAAGATAATTTATCTTGGACTTCCGTATTTCCAAGATACGTTATCTTGGAATTCCGTCATTCCAAGATAAATTATACTGGAAAGACGGAATTCCAAGATAAATTATCTTGGAAAGACGTCTTTCCAAGATACATTATCTTGGAATTCCGTCTTTCCAAGATAAATTATCTTGGAATTCCGTCTTTCCCAGATAAATTATCTCGGAAATCCGTCTTTCCGAGATAAATTATAATAAGTAAGTATTTATTCCATGTTTCCATGATAATTATCTTGGAAACTCGGAAACGCGGAAGGTCACTTTAAGCTTCCGTAAAATTGTGTTTAAAATTACAAGTTGTTACTATTGACCTGAATCCATTTTTATCTAAAAATTCTGCTCTTAATTAGCTGTGATAATAGTTTTTTGATTATTCAAAATGTGTAAGTTTTAATAGTTACTTTTTCTCTGTCACACAGATTTGCGGTCATCCCATAATCAACACAATGCTAATCATCTTGATCAATTAAAAATAAGATTCTGAAACCAAAGAGGCAGTGCATCATCTGGTTTGTACAGTGAAACAACTGATAGCCTGATATTAAAGTGGCTGTAATTATATGAAGATGGACATTCGTTTCCTATGACATGAATTATTAATATTTCTGAAGGAAGAAAATGTTATGTACCATAGTTTAATTTTAAGGAATTTAAAAATGATAATGCAAGTCATGAGGACATATAATAAAGGGATAGTTTTGATTATGGGATGCTGTGCTACAGTTTGGTTGATGTGGGATTGGAATTCTCCTCTTTTTGAGACCAACCCAAAATTTGTTCAATACTCACTTAGAAAAAAGATTAAGGAATATACCTCAATGGGACCTATTGAGTCTGAAACAACAGGTAAATATTGTTTATTTTATGTAGATCTGTAGATTATTTTCATATACTGTATATTTTCATATTAATAGTATATATAAATATATTCTATATATTATCGATTTGTATACAGATAGGAAACATGAGATTCTCTGTCTAACCGTTAGTATTGTAACACATCCTGTTTTTATTGTTTCGTGTTAGTGAAAATATATTATAAACATTACTTTCCTGATTTTTTCGACAGTTGTGTTCAGTCAAGGCATGCAAGGATATAATACATCCAGGTTAGTACACCTTTAAGGTCTGTCCAGATTATCAAATTTTATTTGACAAAAAAATGGTTGTATGCCCATATATAGTCATGATATGGCTATTGACCATATTTAGACATGTTTTTGTCAAATAGGCCTAAAATTTGAGAGGCTGGACAGGGCATTAGAGGGATTCTTGCTTTGTGCGATAACTGAGGTTAATATCCAAATGACTGAAGCACTCTCACAGTGCCTAAAATTTATGTGCCACCATCAAGTAATGGCTCTGGGATGGGAAAATTTACCCGTCTGGAGCTCTGATAATTTTGACAAAGGTTAGTGGGTTCAGGGGCGAGGGCGTGGTGGAGGTCCGGGGGTTATCTTCGTTATGCTTAGAGATACTGGGAAATTTTAGGCCATTATATTAAAGTTGTATTCTAAGGTGTTGATAGAACATATTCATCCCAAAGAATTTTTTTTTTTATATTTTCTTTTTTTTTCTGGTCCAATAAGTCAAGGATCACAAAGTCTTTCCTCTTGACACCCCCTGCTACCATCACCCAAATAGATCCTGTAATTGAAATTACTGACTAATTCCTCAGTAGAGAATGTCCTACAGTAATTGCAGTTTACTAATCACTATTTTAGGTTAGAGAAAAGTCAGTTTTTGAATAATTGTGAACCAAAAAACAGTGCTTTTGAAAACATTTCAATTGTCCAACAAATTATGCAAGCCGTACAAGACTCTGTACTGCCAAGGTTTGTGCTGTGTTTTGTTCTGATCACTGCAATTTCTCAATCAGTGGTAGATCCAGGAATATGAAATAGAGGGGGCCCAGGGAGGGAGTTTGACAGATGGAGTGTCTATACCACCTTAGCCCCACCATGGTTGGGGCTGAGGCAAGAAAATTTACGATTATGACACATCTAGATGGCCGGAAATGGCACTCTCAGACCGTAGTTTTAATGTAATTTTCTTTTTTTCACCAATTTTTTACCCTCTTTAGAAAAATGTAGGGGGGGGGGCCTGGGCTGGGTGGCCCCCCCCCCCCGGCCATGAATCTGCCACTGTCATTAACCTTCTTTTCAAGTAATACAGTATCATTACACTGATTTTTGTGCCACCAAGTTCACTGTGATTCATTAATAGCATCCCTTACTTTACAGGGATACAGTAATAAAAAGTTGATGTACCAAAAGTGTTCATAAACATACATTTTGCCAGTCCTACATGCGTAAAATTATGTCTAAGACTCTAAGCATACGCTTTTGTATTTTGATTAATTACATTGATAAAGTGACCCACCAAAGTTGACAAACGACTGTTAAACTGATGAAATGCCCCACAGAAATTTCCTTTGGCCCAATTTTGGGTCATGACCCAACACAACCGCTGGTTTAGTACAAAAGCATTTGAAATTGCAAAAAACATCTTTCAAATAGACCTATCTTAGAGGAAAGAGTTTCACCCCGATGTATAACGATTGCTTTCAACGTGGCTTAAAATGAACCTTAGATTTAGGTTTAGACTACAGAGGAAGAAAATCCAGACAGACTGACTGATTTCAGCATATCAACAAAAGTCTACAGAATAAAAAAGCATTAAAATTAGTAACAGTAGAAAATCAATCAGATTAATATGAACAATCTTTCAACCAGGGATGAGGATGTGAGAGAACCAGTGCTGAATAGCTATAAATATTCGAAAAACAATGGCCTCTGTGTCTTATGAAATTTTTGTATCCACGTCTAACAACTTGTAGTGCTTGATCCACTGACTTGTTTACATTTCTTCTGTACATTTACATAGTCACTTCATAGGTGGTACACTACATACACCCACATGGTATTCACCCACTCACTGTTTGCTCAAGATTAAAAGTAAATATGGCTCATAAATTTGAAAATATGTAAAATAATGTGTACTGTAATGCACCTCTTCCTTGAGGTTATAAAGCTCAGTTCTTTTCCCTGGTCATTGGTGCTAGTAATCAGCTCAGGAGCAGGCAACCCCACCAGGTACCCATTTATACTTCTGGGTGGAGAGAATCAAATGCAGATAAAGTGTCTTGCTCAAGGACACAAGTGAAATGCACAGCGAGGGATTGAAACCCTGACTTCGAGGTTGGGAAACCAAACCGTTCCTGCTGCGTCAAACCGGATCTGTGATAGCATAGGCGTAGGCTGGTGGGTGCCAGGAGTCTCAGCCAGCTACATCACTAGACTCACTGCCCTTAGAATTAATCTCTCTGACTCCTCTCATACTGTATGGTACTTTGTCTTCTGTCTCTAATTAACCAAATCTCACACGCTCCCCACCCCTGATGATATCACAAAGTGTTGATATTTTTTATCACCAAATTGAATAATCAAGTAATCCCTGGATTTTATTATTAAACCAAAATAAATATTTTATTTAAAATTGGTAATCTTACTTTCAAATTTCCGGTATTGATAACAGATTGAAGGTTAAATTTACCATAAATTGCATTTTTTGCTACATTTAATTTGTAAATCAACCTATTATTTATTTATGTCTTTGTGAGTATGTAAATGATTATACCAGTTTGTGAATTTATTAGTACATTAGAAATGGATATTTAGTCATAATTAAGTATTTTAGCCAACTACAGTACAGTTTAGTTTGTTTAATAATTAGGATTTTATTTTAAGCTTTGTTGTAAAGTCTTGTATATTAAGTATTATTAACTATGTTTTGTTGGGAAAATTGGCTACAAAAAAAAGATTTCCCAGTATAATGGGTGACATTCCTGAGTGTGGTGGAATCAATTTTCAATTGCTCAGTAATTATACCCAGTATTTAATAGATGCCTCAGGGGTGTTGCCAGGATTTGTTTAAAATTGATGGTAACCAATGGATATTATTTTGCGACCTTGAGCATAGATTTTTCCCTTCTGTTTTTTAATGTTGAAAATTTTGATTAGTGTAATTAATTTATTACTTTGTTATACATTACAGTAAAAATGATCACAATCATGATTGTGACCAATGGACCAGTATATATGTTGCTACAGGTGCATACAAACAAGACATCTGCTAATTTTATATTTTGCATATCATTACTGTAGGCTAGACTGCAAAATAGCATTATCACTGAACTATACAAATGTTCTAATTACCATTATTATAGTTAGTCAAAATTGAGACTTGTACTGTAGCCTCTAAGGTATAACTATATTACATCCATATCAGCATATTATTTGTATTTGGTATGACTGTATGCTATTTAATTGGGGGATATACAGTAGCATTTTTTAATCCTGATGGGACAATATTTATACCGTACTGTACTGTAAACTATTTATTATTATTGGTTGATTGCAACACATTGTGTGTTTGTTTTAATTTATGTATACTTTATTATCTCTGTTTACACTTTGTGTGTGTGTATTGTCTTTTTCACTATTTAATTAAGCAATTATATGTTTGGTTTAATAACAACATGTGTTTGTACAGTTACTCTGTACAGCATGGTATTAATTTAATATATTGTTAGTGTACAGTACAGTATGTACACAGCAATTCATATTCAACTTTTATTGAAGTGCTTGAAAACAGGCTTCAAATATTGTCATTAGACACACACAGCACTTATTATAATTGCTCTTTCTTACAGCCTCTGTATTACCATTCAATATGTTATATTCTAATTCAGGGGTGGGTGGGCATAAAAATCGGTTGGAGGGCCAAAGTGAATTTTCGATTTAACACCGAGGGCCGCACCCAAACTTTGTCTTTGATGGACCTTCCAAAAAACCTCAAAGCACTGCTTTTACACCACTTTTATTCTGAGTTTTAATGTTACTTATTACATATGATTGGTGTCGGGCCGTGAAGAACAAGGTGTTTTCTAGCCAATGTTGCACACATAGGTTTTTTAATTACTATTCGCTGGCCGCAAAAAAATCGCCATCAGGCCGCACTTTGCCAACCTGTGTTCCAATTCAATTTTGTCTTCTACCGTATTATATTTTTTTCATTTTTACATGCCCTACTTCAAGTTTCATAAGATTTCATTTAATGAAATGTTTTTATTGTATAGGATTTCTTCTACTTCTTTTAGTATAATTAACAGTCATCTTTTAAAAAAATTGTATGTTCTTGTTTGTTCCTACTTTACTATAGTAGTAGTGAAAATTGTAGTTCCATGTGTTCTAAAAGCACAATTTTTATCATCTTAACTTATAAAATCATCCCGCTGGACTCACAAAGGGTTTCACTCTAAGACCCATTCCCACCATAAATGTTCAGCTCTCCTGTCGGGACTTGTTGGGTGCCTGTCGTCAAACCACTGACTTGCGTATGTATCCGTCATGTCGTCTCTCTACTTAAGGCCTATACCTTATTTTGTGATACCCATTTTCTAATAGTGTAATTTAATTTCTGTTACATATTTTATGTCTTCTTTTTTTTTGTAGGATTCCTGCTTTAGTATATCATAATGGGTATTTCCTAGCATTTTGTGAAGCAAGGAGAGACACACATCGGGATATAGGTAACATGGACATTATAGTGAGAAGGGGTCAGAAGAAAGGCTGGAAGATAGAATGGAGTGATATTAAGAATGTAGTCTCAATGCCAGGAATGAGGTACCTTATTATGATATTCACACTGGTATTTTATGTTCACCTAAGTGTTATGAATTAATAAGAATGATAAAGGAGCACAGCTGGTAGTGGGAGTAAATTTATATTTACCACAATAACTGAAGTTTGACAAGTTCAATTTGGTATTGGTACCTGTTTATTGTTCATTTCCATTATACTTTATAATCAGTAAGCCTACACGGGATACCACCATAATTTTCCAGTTCAAGTTTCAATTATTGTCAGATACTAAAGTACGTACTTGGAATTTGTTTTTAAAGATTCAAAAGCACAACACAGCACAACAATGAATGAGTAATTATTATTATTTTTACTAGTACAGTACTACAGTTGCTGCTAATCATGACACCTCATGAAGCATGAAGTATTTTGTTTTCATAAAAAAATGTATTTGTTTTCATAAAACATATTACAGCTCTATACTGTACACTTTATCCTTTATCTTCTGTGAACTTTGAACTCATTAATTCACAGAACAATGAACCCTGTGCCCATTGTACATGAAGAGTTGGACATGTTGTTATTGGTTTTCATAGCAATTCCGTCCCATATATCTCAATGGCGCTTGATGAAAGATGGGCTATATCAACAAGCAGTACTTGTAACCAGGGTAAGTGTCCCCTACCTACAAACTTCTAATGAGTGATACCAGGGGTCCCAAGTCTCCTGTGACTCGTAGGAGTCACCTGGAAGTCAATTGAGTTCTGTCAAAGACCTTAAATAGCAGAAGAATGAGCTGCTCCACTTATTTGCATTAAAATCGATGGAACATCCGCCCTCCTGCTAATGGGGTAAAATTTGTACATTTTAATAAGTGGAGAAACTACAGGAAACAAACGAACCAGAGTGGCACCTTGATTATTGTTAAACAGCACCGCGGCGCGGACAGGGTAAAATTGCTCTCCGTGTACCCACAATGCCTTTCGAACGGATGTTCCTCTATATTTGGAAGCTGCTCTATCTTCTGCTATTTATTATCTTTGGTTCTGTACCCATTGTAGTTACAGAATTGGAAATGTTCTTAATGGTTTTCATTGTAATTTCAGCCCATGGAGTAGTATAAATAAGCAGTACTTGTAATGACTGAATATATTTAGCCAAATTCAGTTAAAGTTAGGATTTGACAATTTAGCTTAAACACTGCGTTGATTGAGGCAACTTTGGCATTGTTACATGACTATGGTGTCAAATTTGTTGTGTATAGATTTGCAAACAATCGTGTAAATCTTACCTAATTACCTCACTGACTGTTCAAAAATGGTGCATTAGAATCCTTACTCAGGCAATCGTCAGGAAACCTGTTGATATTGTGTTCTGATTGGTCGAATATTTAAATATTGATACCTGGTAAACTTGTTTGGTTACTCATTAGCTGTTATTTAACAGGCAAGTAACAGGTACCTTTTACTACATGTTAATTGCCTGTTGTATTTTATTCAGCCTCACAAGTACTTGTTGAGTTACCTGTTCATTCTTGTATCATAACTAAACTAAATCCTTTCTGAGCCACAGTTTCTTTAGTGTGAAGTGGATGAGAGTTGTACTCCCCCTGGACGGGACACTAGTCCGTCGCAGGTTAGTCCCCAGCAGTTTGCTGGTTCCTATTGATACAGCTGGGTGGACTGAAGCAATGTACCTAAAGTGCCTTGCCCAAGGACACAAGCGAATCTGCACAGCAGAGACTCGAAGGTCCGACCTTACGATTGAAAGCCCAAATGTTAACTGCTGCGCCAAACTGCCACTACATAACAGGTACATGTTGATACCTGTAAGTACCTGTTGAAATTGTAACAGGCATCAACAAGAATTTTCTCCTGGGTTGGTTATTTCTTTAAATTATTAAATGATTATAAATTCTTGAGCTAAATTTTGTAAAATACATATTCAGAGCATTTCTTGCAGAGTTTTGATAATGGTGAGACATGGACCCCACCACAAGACATCACATCGACAACATTAGCTACCATACGTCCTCTACCTGCGTTATATGCCCCAGGACCAGGCCACGGTATAAAACTCAAATCAGGCCGTTTGATGGTACCTGGAAACTACTTTGTGAAGGATCATATAGGCATGAAATTGTGTAAGATTATAACATTTTGTTTCAAATTTATAAAGTTTATTTGTTTTTTTATATTTTTAACTGTTTTATATTGCCAGTGCTAGCTTATCAAAACATTGGTCTTTCATATTTTTTTATATTCAAAACTAAAAATATTACCTCAAAGTGGCAGAGTGCATTTAAGGAAAACATTTCTTGGAGTTGCATGCAAGGGGACGTCTCACATCTCCAAATTCTCAAACTTCCGAGTCTCTTATGATTGGAACAGCTAATATTGAAGTTCAAAAGAGCTTGTAATTAAATACTATTTGTTTTGTAATAAGAATTATAATGATAAGGAATTTCTGTATTATAGTTATGCTATATTTTGTTGATATTTTGAATATAATGGATACTAATTACCTGTTCTTTTTTTCTTTTGATTTTATTTTTCAGTTGATCTTGACAACTTTTATAATAATACAAATTATGCAAATGTTATCTATAGTGATGATGATGGTAAGTCTTGGCAAGTGGGTGGCAAGATACCATTCTCAAGAGAAACTAAGTATCGCTACCCCATACATACTAATGAAGCAACTGTGAGTACCAGTTAAATAATAATAATAATAATAATAATAATAATAATAAAATCATTTTTAAGCCCTGTCAATCATCAATTTTTCTTTGACATGCCTAAATATGGTGATGACATGACATCACATAATGACCATATATAAAAATATAATCATTGAAAACTGTGAAATTTCAACAGAATTAACAAAACAGTAATACACAAGAAATATTTTATTTATTTGTATTATTATTTTTTAAAGTAGGTAGGAGGTTACTGAACATTTTGCCACCACCACCTCAACTGGAACATGTATGCAAAGTTCTAGTCACACCATAAATGACAAAATTTAATTTTACGAGACTTCAGTGTGGCTCTTGTTAAAAAGAGGCACCTAATCTAGAGTGGTGCTTCTTACAATTTATATGTACACTGAGATGCTTAATGCTGTAACATATTCAAGCTCTCTAATAAGCACCGTCCTCAAAACTAGTGCAGACATTTGCTAATGCACATAGGCCAGATTAGAAATGTATTTTATCTGACCTACCAATCAAAATAAATTATCACTTCTTTCCATACATGTATTTGACATGTGGACAGATATCTACACTCATGATATGCGCATACACAAGATATCACACCATATATGGGCAAATCACCGTTACGGTTTACACCAAACCTTAAAAAAATGTAGGTTACAGAATTGTTTAGATAATATGAAACACAACCTTCTGGACTGTTAGGTATTTGTCCACTCACATCAGATCATTTCAGTATTATATATATACAGTATATATAAACTTTTATTTCACAGATTCAATGCATAAACAATAAAATTACAATATTCAAAATAGAAATATACTAATATAAAATGTCAGACCAGCTGACGTACAATTTAGAATTAAAAAGCAATTTATCATACACATTTTTCACAATTAGATTATTAGACACATTAATATGCAGCATAAATCTATAAATAGATTTGCACATAAATTTACCAAAACTTTGAATACCAAAATTAACAAACATATCAGATGCACTACAGAAGTTACTCAACTTCATTAACATATGCAAAGCATTATTATAACACACTCTAAGAGAATTAAAGTTATGCATGGTGTAATTAAACCAAAGAGTACTGCAGTAGAAGCTCATACAGTATGACTTAAATAAATAAATTTTACTGATTCAGAACATTTAGAAAATTTACGGCATAAAACATTAGATCTGATACACTAAGCACGGTACTGTTTACAAATGTCCTCATTATCTGATAAATTAAAACATAACAGATGACCAAGATAAGTAATATTGCAAACAAAGTCAAACTGATTGTCACAAAGTGAAATCATAGGATTAAAATTTTTAGGAGAAGGATAAAAAGTCATACACATACTCTTCTTAGTGTTATATAAAATATCATGCTCTTAGGCAAAAATTTCACATTCATCAATAAGAGCTTCTAGAGCAATAATGGAAGGCGCTACGAGAACCATATGATCTGCGTAAGACTTTTTGAGTTTAACAATCACATCATTGGTATAAACTAACAGAAAAATACCTAGAAATACAATTACCCCACTTTTCAAAAAATCTTTGATTAGAATACCATTAAACAACAATACGGAGAATATCAATATCATTATGCAAAATAAGCTTATGAAATAATCTATAATGACAAACACAATCAAAAGCCTTAGAGGCATCCAGAAAACAAGCAAACACAGGACTACCACACGATTATAATATTCAACAATTTGCTTCAAAATAAAAATACTGTACACATATCAGTAGAATGATTGGACTTTAAAGCAAATTGATCAGTAACTGAAGAATACACTCAAAAACTTTGGACAAAATAAAAGCCAGAGCAATAGGACGATAATTATTTTGAGAAGTAATATCACCAGTCTTATTTTTAACAATTGGAACTAAAATAACTTTAGTCATGGATGGCGGAACATAACCATGTCGAATCATAGCATTGAAACATAAAGACAAAAGAATATACACCATGGAACTAGCAAAAATAAAATGTTTAGCAGAAATGGAGCCTTTCCTTGCTTAAGATTAATAACATGTTTTTTAATATCATTAAAAGATCAGCAGTACCCTTATTAACATTAATAAACTCATAAACAAGGTTCTGATCAGAATAATTGTTAACACAATTTTAAACAATTCCTCATAGTGTTTAGTCCACATATTGCAGATCCTCTCCTCACCGTTGTTGTTAGTAATATTATTACCATTATTATTATTACTATTAATATTAGTGTCAGTTTAAAGTAATAAAATAAGATTAATTAAAAAAAATAAGATTATATTTGTGTATACACCACACACAATATGCAAAAATTTGCAAAAGCTAGAGCCTTCAACAATGATATTTGCTCCTAAACAGAAAAAGAAGAAGAATCCTTGATATAAATATAATTATAAATCAATAATATACTATTCTGTGAAGCCAAGTTACGACAGACAGTTAAATTGCATCATTGTTTAACCTTTAAAACCCCAAAACCATTAACCTTCAGGTTGTTGAACTTGATAATGGTACCATTATGCTGAACACAAGGACATTGAATGCTGACTTACCGCGGGTACAGGCATACAGCAAAGATGGCGGCTTAACTTTTTCTGATCCAGTGATTAAACAGGGTTTAATTGAGCCTGGATACAAAGTAGTCGACAACTGGACAATACCATCAAAAGCTGCAGGTTGCCAGGTAAGACTTAGTCATTATGTGAGAATCATTTTATCACCGTGTTATCTGGAAACCAATATCGCCAGCATACGTCCTGGAACACTGTCAATTGACAGAAAATGTACGAAATATTAACAGGAATATCTGTTACAAAAACTAGCATTGGTTGGGTTAATTTGAGGGCCCTTTGCTGAATATTAATACAAACAATATAACCAGAGTCTATTTTACAGCACAGACAATATTTTAGTTCTGAGAATTCAACATAACATACAGTATGGTCTTCTGACTCTCTTTCTGTATTTTTTTTAGTAATTGAACATTATTAACATCCCTCGAAATTTGCTACACAAATTATGGAATTGCTGATCAATTTTCAAATTTAGCAATTGTTGCTAATCGGTATTTTGAAACAAATTGTTTCCTGTCGGTAAGCTAGTAAAGTAGTCTGTGGTCTATTAAAATCTCTAGTAAATTAGTCAAGTGGGCTAGTTACCAAAATAGTTAGGGCAAGGCCTGCTCAGCCCCACCATGTTTGGGTATGAGATACAAAATGTTATGTCTCGCTAGAAATGGCACTCTCAAACTTAAAACATGAATGTAATTTTCTTTTTCCCTCATTTTTTTAAAAATTTCCCCTACCCCTCCTAATCCCTCTTGAGCACATTAAGTATCCTTCAAGCATTGGAAAACCTTATAAATAAAGGTATAATTAAATAAATAAAAACATCTATGGTTATAAAACTATGTAGTGTAGTTGGGAATGTATTCAATATTATATTTCTTAATGTTTGAACATAAGGACTTGAATATGTTAAAATAGGTATACTGATTTGATGATGATACTTACAACTTTCAATTTCTAGTAATAATAACATCTTTATTTCCTCCAAATTTGCATATAATATACAAACAAAAAAGGAGGGGGTCAGAACAAATTCCTTAGAATGTGCTCATATTCAGCTCTACGAAATTTAATGTCTAAAATATAATTATGGAATACCTTTATAATTTAATGATTATTTACAGGGAAGTGTAATTGGATTTCCAAGTCCAGACCAGACTCATCCAACCAAGCACTGGATAATGTTCTCAAATCCAGCCTCAAAAAAGTTACGAAATTACATGACTCTGAAATTAAGCCAAGACGGTGGGGAGACATGGAGTACCGGTTGGATGGTCTACAACTTCAAAAGTTCTTACTCTGACCTGACCTACTTTGAAGATACTGACCCATTTACAGGAAAGTTGACGCAAAATTTTGCAGTTCTCTTTGAAGGCGGTCTGGAACTGCCTTATGAGACCATTATGTTTAAAACCTTTAACTTAGATGCTTTTTATCGTGGCCAGGATTTTTCTCAGAATTTTGAGTGGAAAGTGAAGAGCCAAGAAACATTTGAATAATTTTAGCTTTTCTATGTTTATACAGTACCACATATTTCCCTCATTTTTTTTTTATTTCTTTCTTTTTTGTAAGTATTGTTAATGCTGGATTTATAATTTTAGGCTTTGTAAACTGAAAAGTTGTATGTGAAAAATTCCTGTGATGTGACATTATCTTGCCAATTTATGTGTGTTATATTACATCATTATTCTCATATATGTTACAGAAACTTGATATTGTAGACAAGCATTAGATCAATGAAATTAACGTTTGTCTGTGTGTTGAGCTGTCTGTAATAATTACATTGATTGTACATTTAATTACAAAAAAATAAGACAGAGTAAATAGTAAATACAGTAATACTATCCTTCAAATATGACACTTAATTTGATGGGAAACAATTTGGGATCAAATCACCAAAAAAATTATTATTTAGATCTGTGTCTATAACTTAGTTGATTGTTTTTAATTGGTCATTAAATGTTTTAATTCAAAGTATAATAAGGTTTTTACAGATTCTAACATATAGTATAGAAAAATATAGCAAGATAGAGAATGATTTTTCTTATATATTATTGGCTCAGTCGGCTACACCGTGTGAGCACTGACCGGTGGAGATCAATCGTTAACCTTTGGTACCCAATTCCATCAGTAGGGCTGAAATGCATGTATAAAAAGTTTATCGTCTGTAAGTCATTGGTCCCATGTATAATATGGCCCATGTGCATGTTAAAGAATGTAGTACACTCTTCAGGAAAGAGTAGGGGATTGCCCCCCCCCCCCAGTGTATTGACCAATCACTACCAGAAGTGCTCCACATTCTCAAACTTTCATAGGTTAACCTTGGTGTTCACTCCAAGTAAATTCAACCAACCATAAAATACTTTACAAAACTTGTCATTTGTTTATCTTTAATTATAACAAATCAGTTGAATTTAATTAACATGTAAATGTATTAATCCTACCAAAGGGTAAAGCATTGCAGGAGGTCCGACTGCTCTGATTTTGTATGCAATTAATAGAACGTATGATATCCAGGGTAACTTTAGCACCTTGAACAGCTCTTTGTCAAATCAATATCTGAGCTATGTATTTTTGGGGTTTTTAATGCCGGGGTTCACTCCCTCACTGAATGGACATGAAATGATTGTTATCTTGGGCCCCTTTTTTTGGATATTTTGAAATGTTTAGATACTGTAGATCACAAATTTTGTAATAATTGTATGAAGTATGATGAGATTGTTCAGTTATATCTGATATTAGTATTTCTTATATGTTGGTACTTAACTATGGAACACAATTTAAAGATGTATTGTCCCATGCAAAATACAAACAAAATTATAACAATAATTTTTGAAATTTACTTGCCCATTTTGAAGTCAAATAAAAGTTCACAACTTGAATATGCGAATTTGCAGCAAAAAAAAACACTTCCAGTCACAGGAAGTGTTTTATTATTTTTATTATAATTTTATGGTTTCAAAATCAGGGTGAATCATTTGTAAGTTACTGCAAAATGAGCAAGTAACTTTCAAAAATTATTTTTTTGATTTTTTGACATTAGCAATACATCTTTAAATCTGCAGATATTTAAATTTTTTAGATAATATTTTCAGTTAGTCGTAAAAGTTAGTTCTAAAATATAATGTTTTATTTCCTTTGTATTAGGTTATAAAACTGGTGTATATAATCATTATAATTACATTGTTTAAGAATTATATGATGAAATATGTTATTCTCCTTAATATCTTAGCTGACATTAATGTGTATATGTAAGTTTTGAACTGTACAAACAATATGCAGTATGTATATAATTCTGGTGAATGGCTATAATAGTTGTATTATATGATTTATCTTATTGATTTAAAACAATTTAAAGACATTTTATTATAAAGTAATTTCTCATTCTATTTTTATGATGATATTTTTCTTGGCTATGGCTGTAATAGTTATATTATATGATTTATCTTATTGATTTAAAACAATTTAAAGAAATTTTAATTTAAAGTAATTACTTATTCTATTTTTATGATGATATTTTTCTTACCTTTTATTTTAATTTTTTCTTAAATATTTAAGTTGTTTTTTTTCTTATGTTTATCTCTCATAGGAAAGTTTTAGATGTTGGTTTAGTTGGGTTTGTAATATAAGAATATGTTATTGATTGATTAATTATATATTAGGTAGGTAGTATTCATATTGATTGACTGAGTGAGTGATTGACTATTTAAGTGAGTGAGTGATTGATTGATTGATTGATTGATTGATTGATTGAGAAAGTGATTGATTGAAAATTTAATCCCTATTTCTCATTGTACAATAGTTATTTAAAAAATATATTTTTAGTATTTCAAGATTTGGAAGAAGGTTGATTGCTTTTGCAGAAATTAAAGGATTAATGTGCATTCATATGGTTTAAGAGTCTTTGTATTGACAAGATCATGACCAGTGGTTAATGAAAGGTTTAAGTTCAATTTGTCTTAATTCCTTTTCTATGCCTGTAAATGAGGTATGATTAATTAAACAAGTTGTTGTAATTGTTTCTAATTTATAAGATACCTACATAATGATAATGGTTTGGGTATAGTTATACCAGTTTGTCATTTTTTCCCACATTTGTTTAATATATATATATATATAATATTATACACATCTAGATGTTTTGTTTGTCAAAACATATGGTACTATCAAGAAATACATTACAGTACTTAAATTTTATTTGACCTGAATTCCAATACTGTACTATGATTTAATTTAACAATATATTTAATTTGGTGTAAAAAAGTTATAATAACTAACGATTATATAGATAATGCTGTATTAGTTTACATAACTTCTGTTCAAACCATTAGCAATCCCTTCATCTTTTACCTGAATTTAATAATTTTAATAATTCACATCAGCGATTCTGTGTTTTTTAGTACTGTATACTATACACTTTCCATTTTTTATCCTGTAAATTACATATTTTTTATGAATCAGACGAATAAATATATCTAAATCTGTGTATAATGAAACTCTCTGTAGTTGTTGTAAGTGCCTGATTGTAAGTGCAGTATACGGTATTTATTCGAAATAGACACCCCACTTTGAATAATAGTCTCAAAGTCTATAATAACAAATTTTGAAGGTAATTACTGTAGTTCCGCATTTACAGTGAAATTAAGGGGCATTTATTTGAGTATTGATATGTATTGAGTATCAATACATATCCATTTACACCTAAATAAATAAACGCCTCACTCGACTAAACGCCCCCTCAAAAACCCTTCTCAATATCCGCACAGAGTATAGGACCTACAATATTTTACCAGGTGTAAATCAAATTTGCGCCCTCACTTCACAAACTTAAATGAATTCATCTCTGTTTGTGCTCATCTTTATCTTTTTCTTTCTTCAGCAGTGGTGAGTCAAGAATGTTTTGCCAGGACGATGCTATGCTACCCCGACACCACAATAGGTAAGGAACACCCCAAAAGTCTTCCTCTCTCTTCTGTCTCCTTCAAAAATTGTACTCGTTTACCAATCGCACCGTCCTGGCAAAACATTCTAGACTCGCCACTGCTGAAGAATTGGAAAGATAAATATGAGCACAACAGAGATGAATTTATTTAAGTTCATGAAATTGAGGTGTAATTCTAACAATAACAAGCTTTAAAATACTAACACTATGTACACAAAGAGGAGGGGCCTGTATATATTCCTGCGAAAGTTACTAACAATCAAGTAATAAAATAGACTAGAAAAAAAATCTGAAAGAAATGAGTTAGGGGGAGTGGAATGTTAGAAGCAATCCACATAGCCAGATATCCTAATTAATTCCTTCTGGTCACCCTAAGCCCTGTTGACACTTGATTTTACTCCTTGTATACAAATGGCGGCCGTTTTTCAAAATGGCCGCCAAATTTGTCTAAAATGTGCATAAAATTTAAACTAAATAAGCTATAGATCCATAGGATCCACTATGATATAGATCCTAGTCCACATTTCAAGCGCCCTGAGCATCTTACTTTAGATGAATTTGTGCGCTATATAAAACTACACTATTATTATTATCATGTGGTACTAATAATATATTTCTCCCTCAACATTTGGGTTTCTGGAAGAAAAACAAAGGAAAATAATATTTTGATAGAAAGATATTTGCATTACCGATATATACGGCTATAAATTTCTTTACAAAGCAGAGTATTTAATGAACATTTGCAGTGTTCTTTATAGTCGAATTATTGAGTAATTATTCCCCTGTCGTCCACGGATTTCTCTAAGAACACGGGCGTCCGGGCGGACGCGTCTCTGGTTGCTATATGCTCCGGACGCTCCGGGCGTTTTTTAGTAGAGGACCGTTGGGGTCAATGGGGTCAGGACCTTGCACGGATCAAAAAAAGTTACAGCAGGTTACAGGAAATACATAAACAGATAAAACACAAAAATACAAGCATGGATGGGTACAAGACAACACATTCCTCCTGCTGCATAAGACAAACATTTAAAATAATTTTTAATCCAGTTATTCGCTCTCACAACAGTAATAAATGCAGTACGACACCTATTCATCAGAAGAATAGTTTATTCTCTCTACATAGTAGTATATTCTCCTGGCGACTATGAAGCAACTCAATTATTCAACATCGGAAGAGCTTTCCAACGATTACAAACATGACTTTTTGGTGAGTTTATATACTTATTCTTATTTTATACACATTTTAAGTATATTTTGCGGATATTTTAAAACAAATAAACACCTACTTTTGAATTATGTTCCATTCTGGCATGAGTAACAGTAGTTTTTAAATGTCTGATTTGTTGCCTGTCTATAAATAATGATTTTAGACACCAACATCATATCTGTAGCTTATTTAGTTCCAATTATATGCACATTTTAGATAAATTTGGCGGCCATTTTGAAAAATGGCCGCCATTTGTATAACAGGTGAAAAATCAAGTGTCAACAGGGCTTAGGGTGACCATGACGGATTAATTAGGATATCTGGCTATGTTGACTGCTTCTAACATTCCACTCCCCCTAACTTGATTTCTAGGCCTCTTTTTTTGGTTTTTTTCCTAGTCTAAAAGTATCACAGTTGACATGTTTATATCATATTCACTACAATCAATCAAGATGCGTTTTCAAGTTGAAATACTATACAATTTCAGGCATGTAACTTCATTATTACCTACTCTACACAGGAACGTTAAAGCTTGCTAAGGCTATGGTTTATTTTTGGATGCAGTGTGTTTATGGACTACAAACATGAAAAACAGGTCCAATCAAATTTGCCTGATACACCAGAGAAACATTTACATGTAAAACAGCATACAATAGAATACTGTGTTTGACTTAAGGGTGATGTGATGATGATGAATTTTACTAAAAGTGTCATTTGTGGCCATTTAGAGGTACTAGTTCCTCAAATGTTCCTCGGCCACAACTATGGCCGGTCTGGGGTGGGTATCGACTCACAAATTGTCCCCCACCCCCTCCACCTTTCAAAACAGAGCTGCCCCCTCCCTGGATATGACATTTAACTTCATCGAGTTGGCATCTGACTCAGAGTACCTATGTCTGCTGAGGCGAGGGTGCATAAATTTGTTTTTAGAGGATGTGATCTGGGTTTTTATGCCCATTTTTCGTGATTATTTTTTTTGGATAAAGAATGTTTTGAGCAGTGGCGGATGTTTTAATGGAAAAGAAAGAGAAAAATATATACAAAGTCTGAGAGTGTAATTTCGGTCATCTAGTGCCCTAATAAATTTTCTTACCTCAGCCCCAACCATGGGTCTGTAAGGTCCCTCACTGGGTCACCTCTCTTTCGAATTTCTGGATCCGACACTTTTGATTTGTTATATAACTATTGTTAGGCTTACTAACATTAGTTATGATGCGTCTATTATAATTTTTACTTTATCCTCTTAACTGAGTCCTAAAAACGTTCAGAGTGCGCCTTTACAGGGGGATTCGCTCCCGCCGGTGTCCTACATAAAAGCTCAAAAAAGCAATTTAGACATTTTTTAAATATAAAAACCAATTTGATCGGATTACCGGCGGTTTCCGTCATGATTGTGACGTCAGCATTTCTAGCAAGGCTTAAGCTTTACGTTAATGCCAAATTTATCTGCTAATATCTGCTACCCTGCATATAGGAAGCGATTTGATACCCCCACCCCCAGAAAAGCGCCATGTTTAATTGAATTTAGCTGCTAGCACGCAAAATATTAGATATTAGGTACTGTACTCTATTATCTGAGCTGCTCTTGAGGTAATTTTTTTGCTTTGAACATTTTCACTGGGGTGGGGGGAGACTGAGGGGTGCTATCCTTGGTACGACGGTTGCTGTGGCTGCGGTACCGCATGCTGCTATACTCTAAAAATATGCTTCCCTCAACGTTGTAATTTAGTTAGACTGTACGGTGAATTGTCCTTGGACCTTGTCTCTATTTATTAATTGATTTTACGGCAAATTGTCTTGTCCTTACTGCAGGTTTTTGTCTCGTTCTTTCGGCAATTCATATTGTCCTTACGTCAATTTTGTATTGTTCTTACGGCAATTGTATTGTCCTTACGGCATTTTTTGTATTATCCTTACGGCAATTGTATTGTCCTTACGGCAATTTGTAGTAGTGTCATTACAGTGTGAGAATGGCATTGTTCGTACGCCAATGGTTGTCTATTTTTGCCCTAATGGCCGCCCATACGAATGTTAAACCTCTTCAAGGTCTAGGCAGGCCTACGAAAATAAAACAGGCGCGGTGATGCCAACTAATAAATCGAAACCAGCGAAACTGCTGTATGTCGACCTCAACGTTGGGTAAGTTAAGTCGAGGTTTAGTCAGAGTATAAAACTGCAAGAGGTCCGACTGCCCGTATTTTGTATACAGGCAATGGAACGTTAAAAAGTACTCCCACGAAGGGGCGTGTCCTTCATAAGAACGTAAAAGGCGTTCGCATCGAACGCGTGCTGCGTTTCGAATTCCAGCATACGTTCTATACGCACAGCACGCGTTTGATATGAACGCACTTTACATTCTTTTAAAGGCCACGCCCCTTTTGGGTAATACTTAGGATTGCGTTCCAAAGAATCCCCAGCAGTCGGACCTCTTGCAGTTTTATACTCTTTGGTTTAGTCGAAGTTTATTTTATCCACTACCACCACGCGGACGCATGCACCACCAACCAGTGTGACCACTGCTTGGGTATTTACCCAAGATCTTGGGTATTTGACTTGGTCTTGGGTTCTTGGGTATTCCGTTCAAATCCTTGGGTATTTTATTTTTACTAAGAAAATTAAATATTTTTGTCATAGAGGAAGAATTAAGAAGTAACAAAGTATATGTCAGTCCATTC